AACAGGACATAGCTATATCAGAAATATCTACTGAGTTAGACAATTTTAAAATAGATTCTTCAGATAAAGGACCTAAAAAGATTAAAACCCAGCCAGCTGGGAATTTTATAGCAGTACAGCCTAAAGATAGCAAATGAGTAATTTTAGACCCTTCACAGGCACTAGTAGAACTGTACAAGATAATAGACACAACACATCAGAGGCTAGTACAAGTGGTACAGGTGGTATAATAGATGTATAATTTAGTAGAAACAGAACAAGAGAAGTTCAATTAGACAAAGTTGTAGATGTAGATCAAGATTATAATACTTTTATAAATCAGATTCTATGAACCATGAGAGCTAGAGCTTTATGTGGTTCACCAGGTACTTTTGCAATAAAAACAGGGTTTTATAAGCATAAGAGAGAAGTAACAATAATTTGCTGTGGTAATGACACAGTAAATGTCAATCTTATTTCGCCAGATGCAGGAAAAGAATTAAAAAGAGAAGAATATAACCTTATGCATCTAGGAACGATAACTATAGGAGTTAAAAGTATGGTTAGAAAACATTTAGGAGCTAAGGTAAAATGATATGTATTTATGATGATAGATGGCAAGATCCATCAAGAGCTAGATTTGAATGAAAACAGAGGATTCTTATGTTGCAGTCCAGATTTCTTATTAGATATGAAAGACTTTACTGATCATATAAAAATAGGAATTCATAGTAAAGGATTTGAACAATTCAAAGGCAATAATTTATTATTGTGTATTGGATTCCTAGGAAAAATGTGAAGTAGTAATACTAGATACAGATTTGAGAGTTGATGATGTAGTAGAAACGTTAGGAAATAAAGGTTTAAAAATGATAAAACCAACCAAGTATGGTGCAGAAGATTTAGCCGGTTGAAATTAGATGATTTTATAAAAAGAGAAAGTATATTAGCACCAGAGTCAGCTTTAATCTATAAAAATAATAGAGGAGAAACTTCAGTAAGGTTTACAGACTATACTAAGACACTAGCTAGAGATATAGCTTCAGATCAAGAGACAGATATAGAAATGAATTTGGCTCATATTCATTTAGTAACAGATAGAATAGATTTTCCTAAAGAATCAGGAATGACTAATTTAACAGAACAAGAATTAATGGAATTAGACGGGCAGATATTTATAAACAAACAATTAACTGAAGAAGAGTATCTATATTATTCTGATGAAAGAAATATAAGAATAGGAACTCAGAAAGAAGATGTAACTGATACAATCAGTACTGTAACCGGAAGCTTAACGGTAGAATTGATGGATGAACAAGAAGTAAGTTCAGTAGATAATTCACCTTTTGATATAACAAGAAGAGGCTCAGTAGTTTATTCAGCAGGAAATTTACCTAGACATAGAGTAGCCATGGGAGCAACCCTAGAAGAAATCCAACCTTATAGACCCAAAGGTAGTCGTGTCCCATTAGAAAGACCTATTAAATTTGCAACAAAAAATGAAGGTCAGATGTTAAATTTAACAGCACATGATCCTCAAGAATGGCCTCATATAATAGATGTATGGAAAAATACAACAGTAGCAGATTATATAAAATGATTTTAATAATCAAGACCCTAATGAAATGTATAAGTATTTAGAGACAATTCTAGGAGGAAGTGTTAAAGCATTAAGGGAAAGTTATAAAAAAGAACATGTAGAAGAATTTCAAGGAATGATATTTTAATAGGAGCTGATCCATATAACTTTGTTAATAAGATTTCTAGTGTAATAACAGGAGCAGACGCCAATTCAGGACATGTAGAATTACAAAGAGAAGCTATAATTCATTTAGAACAGCATAATTTAACAGAATGGAAATATGTTAAAAGATTTCTAAATGAATATTTTTATCATGTAAGTGTATCAGGAAATGGGTTTGACGAAGATTTTGGAGAAAAACTATTTAGAAAATAACCAGGACAGTCAGGAAGAGAAATACATGAGAAGTGGAGGAATTTAAATGGAGTAGCAGAAAATCCAGATACTAATTGGTCTTCAATGGCATAGAATTCAGCATACAATGAATGAATGCATTCAAAGAAAAATGTACCAACATAGCTCTTGTTTTAGCTTCTGTTCTTTGTGTTATGTTCTTCAATGGCATAACTATCTAAATCCATTTTGGCTATTTTTTTTGTTATTCCTCCGACCCTTTCCAGCCACCGGCTGCAGAGTATTTCTTTTTAAAATACTATGATTCTTGATAAGCTTGGCATTTATCCTAAACCTTTCCTCCGTTTTGGAAAAAAAGGAAAAACACTAAGCTCAGTGGCCAGGACTATATGTTATAAAAAGCCGACTCAAATAATTGTAGTGGAGCATCTTATTATTTTTGTTTGTTTGCGGCAGTTCCTCAACTTTTCTTTACTCAAGTACCAAAAATAAGACATTTTTGTAAACATGCTTGGATTTTAATTTATCTTTAATATTTTATGTGCTGAGGGCTTTGATCTGGATATTTGATCAGGTTGTAGCATGTGCAAATGGTGAAAGAGATGTTGTGATCGAGATGTCAAAAAGGCTTGGATTCCTCACAGGAGAAGAATCAGAGGCAATGCTGGATGCTCATGTTCAGGCTGGTCTTATCGTGGGACTGCCATTCTCTAATCCTGGCGGGTATGACTTCCGATCCTCTAATATCACTCACAGCATTTCAAACCTTGGGGCAACAATGCTAAGGCACAGGCTCACTCCACCTCCAGATGAGGTATATAGCCTTCATAGAAAGCTTTCAGGTGCTTTCTTGGCTTGCATTAAGCTTGGAGCCGTTGTACCATGTAGGGAACTATTACTCGAAGTCTACAAGGATTATCAGTTTGGTGAAGATGGTGAGAACCAGATGCTCAGTGGCTCAATTTCTTGATATATATTTTTGACATTTGTTAATTTAATTTTGTTTTTATACTTAATAAAGTGAGGGAAGAGAACGTCTATCCCAAGCAAGTAAGAATATTTTGTTGCCTTCAAAATCAGAATGAGGGGTTTGTGTCTTAGGATTTTGATGATTAGAGGGCTGTACTTTGCCCTTTTGAGATCAAGTTGAATCACCCCGAGGCTACATGCTACTGATCATTTGTACTTCATTCTTTTATGTACGAGAGAAACACGTAGGGAACCGATTGATTTAGAATTTTAAAAGTTCATAGCGCGTTAAAAAAATATACAGGCTAAATAGCTATATTCACATTGTTATTAAGTGTGAGTTTGCGGGAAATTTTTATTTAAATTTTTGTGTGTTTATTTATTATTAGAAAAATTAGTTAATGAAAAATATTTTTTAATTAAAAAATTTGATTTGTTTTTTTTTTTATTTTAAACAGAAAATACTTTTTAAAAATTATAAAAAATTAAAAAATATTATATTATTTGTAGATTATATTAAATTTGATCATTAAATTTTTTATTGCTATATATATTTTGTTTTGAATATTTGTTTTTCAATTTTATTTTATAAAATTTAATTTTTATATTAACTTTTATCTTTATTTTTATAATTGTTATTTTTTTTTTTTAATTGAAATTTTCTATCTATTAAATTTGGTTCTTATTTTTTTTTTTTTTTATTTTGTTTGAAATAATTTATGAAATAATTATTATTATTATTTTAATTTATTCATCTTTGAATTTTTTTATTTTTTTAGATTTGATTTCTATTATTTCTATTATTATTTATTTTATTTGAGATAATTTATGAAATTATATTTTTTTTTCAATTTTATTCTCATTTAACTTTTTAATTTGTAAAATTTGTTTCTCATTATTTTAATAAATTTGAAAAAAAAATATTAATAAGTTATTTTCTAACTTATTTTTTATGACACAATCAAATACTGTAAAATATTTTCCAACTTATTTTCTATTAACATTGAAAAATAATTCACTTTTTTAGAATTTACTTTTTTTTAAAAAAATTATTTATCAGCAAACAAATAGGGTCTAAATATTAATTTTAAAACCTTTTTACCCAATGTTTTATCTATTCTAGGTTTAAAATCAATTTGTACGGGAGTTTTTGATACAATATAATTAATTTTTTAATATTAAAATGATGATATATTAAATTGATTGTTATTTGAGTGAAAATTTTATTAAGTTTTAAAATTTTATTTTTTAATTATTTTTATTTAATTATACGATAATAGAGATAACAAAAATAGATGTTTGAAAAATTAAGAATAATTAAACGTAAATTAAATATTAAGATATTTATTTGAGATTTTGATAATATTATACAAAATAAATTAAAATAATTTACAAATCAAATAAATACTGAAGAATAAAAAAAATAAAAAAAGGGGGGAATGAAAAGAAGAAAAAGCTATTTCACCGTTCACATGGTGCCCCCAAGTTTTTTATAATATATAAAGTATAATGTTTTCAATTGGTGCTTTTATTTGGTTTAACCTAATTGATTTTGAGAAGCAGGTGAAATGGAGAAGCCTGCCCCGTTTCAACTTGGAACATATTGCCTTTGGGTGGTGGCGGTGCCTTTGCCATCTACTTGGAATTTTCTCTTCTTTCTGTTGCAGTAGTCTGTTGGAGAACTGATCGTCTCAGCTAGGGTGCACCCGACGACTAATTTAAAACTAACGAAAACATTGAACAACAGAATTGAAGCATAACTCTCATGTATAGTTGTAAAATCTATATAGCATCGATTCCTTCATTGATCACATAGGCCAAAGACTAATTATCAGTTGCATTCGCAAATGAAATATGACTGATCAAATTAAGATTGAGATAGTACTGACCAGTCATCCACGTACAAGTCCAGAATATTCCACCACTACTCAACACCGCTGCTGCTGCCAGTAAAATTTAGTAGCGACCAAAACTAAAGCGAGCAGCAACTCCTAATACTAGCCTCTTAATAGCTAGCCAGACACAGACTAAGTAAGTCTTTACTAACTACCAAACCATATCATCCCTGAAATCCATCCTTGATCTCTCTTAAACATCGATCTTGGTCTTCCTTTTCCTAATGCCTACTCTCCTTCTTCATCTTCTGCTTTAAGGCAAGAGAAACATTGCGCTTGCACTCATCCGCATCATATAACAGCTCCCAACCCATCAAAAAACAGAGATAAGCATCCACAGTTGCTAACTTCACCTTCTCATGATATTCATAATACATACAGTAAGGAGTATTAGTAAACCACTCCGCTTTCTCCCCAGGCCTCACAACATCCATGTGTTTTCCTAGCAATGCCTTGGCCATATTATCCAAGTCAAACTTGCTCAGATTCAGATCTAACAACTCTTGCCCTATCTTCTTTACAGCTAGCTCATGGACATCTATCACTTTCTCAAACTTAATCTTAAACTCCTTCTCTAACTGTTTAGCCACCGGCTTTATGTTAACACCTACAGCTATGACTTTAGGATTGGAGAAGAAGTCTCGGAGAGACTTACAGGTGTAGTAACACTCAGGGTGCGAGAGGTGGTAGATGAGACAGTGAGAGCCGACGCAGAGCTGCAGGATGTTGTACGGACTGTAATTCTCGGAGCCTTTACTGCCGGAAATGTACTGCTTATCGGTTGAGACACCGACAATGAGAGATTTCTTGGAGGAGGAGGAAGCAGAGTCGTTGTTGGTTTTGGAGACATGTTTGATCCACTTACTGACAGTGAGGTCGCATCCGGAGATGACGGTGAGGATGCGGTGGTTCTCGACGTGGATGGTGTAGCCGTTGTAATGGTAGTAAGGGTCTTTGAGCGATTCCTTGATCATTTCAACAGTGATTTCCATTTTTTTGGTATATGAGAGAGAGAGAGAGAGGTGACGGAGGAGGTTGTTATTTTCTGTTGCCAAAGGCGTGAGGGAATGAGAGACTTGAATGCAGGTTGTTTTATAGCGAGTATCTCGAGGGGCCCAGAAATTTCTTGCTTCCAAAGCAAGACCGAGAGAGCGCTCTTCTCGTTTCAAAATGGTTGGAGTAGCAGGGAATTGGAACAGTTTGGAAATGTGAACTTATATTAATTTTTTTTTATTAAAATTTAATATGATTTGTATATTTTAAATTATTTTAATATATTAATATTAAAAATAATTTTTTAAAAATAAAAAAAATTATTAACATTTGAAAAATAACAATTATCATACTGCCAACACACTCTTAGATATGCTAAATAGCAATCCTAGAGATTTATGAAATTGGGTTTCATTTTGTAACCTAAAAGGAAAAATAAATTTTCATTCTTTTTTTTTTCCTAATGCAAGAAAAAGGAAAATAAATGTTTCCAACTGAAATTAACATACACAACCACAACCAATGCAATGCTTTAATTAACCACCGGCTTTGTCAACTAATTATAAAAAACAATACTTTTAGATGAATTCAAAGAAAACTTCAAAGAATTAATGTGCTTTGGATTAAGTCATTGAAGATTGTTGTTAAACTTAGTTTATAGATATATATTAGATTAGTAAGTAATGATATTTAGTTTATTTATACTAAACACAAAAGAATGTTTTTAAAAAATCTAGAGTTTATACAAGTTTAAATTTATAAGCATACATAAACTTAACTAATAATAAATATGCTTTCAATATAAAAACAATAATAGAATACTAGCATGCATGCTATGTATATGATGCGAAACAAGTAATCAGGTGATCATGCAACCTATAATAAGATTGACAACAAATCTTAAGAAAGTCGAATAATCAGGTTTGGTTGAACTTTGACCTAGACTTAACCTGTAACTAAAAACCAGAGGTATTAAATGATAGCGAATGACATCATAGGATTAATTATATCTTGATAAATTAGATTTACTCTTTTCCCTAACAAATAAAAAGAAGTTTGCTTAAGAAAAATTGAATTTTACTAATGTATAAAAGCTATCCAAATTTTAAACATGTTGTTCTCTCTCATTCATATTGTTCTCTCTTGTCCAAATGAATTAACAAACCTATCATATATTGTTAAAAAGGTACAAATATCTAGTTTCCAATCTAATTAGAATCACATAAAAAATCTTCATGTAGCTGAATATATAACTTGAAAAGTATAAAAAGGTTCAGACTAATAGATTTGAACATTTTTAACCCAACTCTTTTGACTTAGTCCATTGAACTCCTTTTGAATCCATTTTATTTGAGGCCTTAGAATATACCTAATGAACACTCCTAATGGATCCTTTGATTTCATATCCAAGATTGCATCATTCCCATTTAGTAGCACCTTAGAATAGGGTAGCTTTAAATTTAAGGGTGAGGTTCAAACGAGGAAAGATTTATAGTGGATACCTAGTCTTGATCAATTCACTATTAAGAATGCGCGGTGAATTTACCACTATTGTTGTTGATCTACTAATTTATTGTTTTTGATTGATTTTATTTCTACACTTTATCTCTCTCTCTATACTTTAGTAGAAAATTTTTATTTGATATTAGTTTTTCCAAGAAAATTAATTTTACATTGGATGTGTAACAATAAGTTTTACATTTTATGACATGCTAAATATATTAGGTCATGTTCAACTTTAATAAAAGCTTTTATTATGCAGTTAATTTTCTTAACAAAGTTTGGGAACCACTAAGTTTTATGTTCTTATAGCTTTGAAAATCACAAATGACGAGAATACTCTCAAAGTAATGATGTCTTGCTTATGATTAAGCAATATAATTTGTTGATGAGAATGTTGTGCTCTATAATTTTAAGTGGATGAGTTGTAAAAGATGAAGCAAGATGGATTTGCATGAAAAAAGAACATAAGATATAAAAAAAGAATGATCAAAAGCTAAAATTAATAAATTATAAGAAAGTAAGTGTAGTGAAGTTTAAAAGAAATATATAAAAAAGGAAGGTCTTAAATTATTTGTAAATATATATGAGAGACCAAGTAAAATGAGAGTCTTTTTAAAGAACTTCTAATAATGCAAAAGTTATGTATGTTTTCATAGTAAACACATACCCCCTGCCACACACACACAAAATAAAGGTATCCATTACTAAATATATTTTAAAAGATTAGTTATAATAAATATATTTAATCATAATGGCCAATTCTTTAAAACTTATTAATTACTAAAAACAATTATCATTAATTATGATTTTAAATCAAGATCCTGATAGAACCCAGTTAAGTCAATGACCTAAGTCTTGAATTTTTTTTGCTTCTTTAAAAACTATAAAGTCACATAAACATCTTTTTTATATTAGAAAAAATTTGGCTCGATATGTGATACAGTGTCACATCTAACATCACGACAAATTAAAGTCATCTTTCCTAGAAGGAGGAAAGGTTGTTTGTGTTTAAAAGGGAGGGAGATTTTATGTTAAAAAGAAATCACCACGTAATATTATACTTATCATGTAACGGATTAGTTATTCTAAATGGAAGATACTATCACTATAAAACATCTTATATAAGATAAGCTGCATTGCTACTCTTGTCTTCTATTTCTAATAGCTTATTATGCTTAATGTATCTATATTCTATATAACTAGGTGATAGTAAGTCTACTACTATAAGTTAAACTTTGAATGAATATGTGGGCTCAAGCTTAACGATTCTAAGACATGATTCATCTTAATACATTTCAGTGTTTAATGAATAATATGTTAGAGCCTTACTTATAAAAGTTTATGTTAGTTTTTTTATGACATATTGATATAAAGTTCTTCTATGGAGTTGTATATCAACTCTTTTAGAATTAAGTTAGTGACATTATAAAGTAACCAATTATATGCTAAGTAGTCCAATTAATCACTCTTTAAAGAAAAGGTAAAATATCTATGTTATATTGTCTCTTTTCAAGGGGTAGGAATTAACCCTAAAAAGACTGAAGATATGAGATCCATGTTTGTTCCATATCTGTCAAAGAATTAAAAGGATTCATTTGATAAATAGATTATTAATGAAAATTCTTTACAGAGTATGGTATCATTAACAATCCAATCCTTGAATTATTTAAAAAGAACGACTTCAAATAGAATAAAAAAGCACAAGATTGATCAACTTAAGAAATCATTATGTGAAGCTTTAGTGTTAGCTTTACCTGGTTATCACAAGGTTTTTATGCTTGAAAATGATGTTTGTGTTATTGAATTAAGAGTTTTGTTTTGTCAAGAGGAAAGGCCTTTAAGTTTTATTAGTAAAGCTTTAAGTCTTAGCATAAAGGGTTATCCATATATGAAAAACAATTCATGACCATTGTAATGATAATTGATATGTGGAGATACTATTTAAAACATGATTAGTTTCATTATGAATATTAATCATAAAAGTCAAAAGTATTTATTGGAATAGGGGATACACATACCATACAAAGAAAAGACTTATTTTTTTTTTTTTAGAGATGTTATACAATATAAGAGAGGAAAAGAGAATCAAGTTGCAGATGCCTTATCAAGGAATGATGATTTGCTTAATAGTTTAATTGTTGGTAAGGAGTCGAGACATGAAAAGCACAATAATATTTATACTATGACAACAGTTGTACCAATATGATATGAAAAAAGATTATTATATATGAATAGTATGGTAGCTGAGAGATTATTTAATATAAAATAGTTAGCTAGAATTTACTTTGTTAAATGGAGTGTTGAGGTATAAGAACATGATTTTTATTGGCAACAATGAAATGTTGAGGAATAGATTAGTAAATGTTCTCATGAATCTTATATACAAGGTCATGTTGGAGTTTAAAATTCTTACAAGAAGCTGAATATTTGTTTTATTTATCAACCATGAAAAAGTTACTGAAATAAATGTTGGAGGAATATGATATATGTAAAAAATAAAAGTTAGAGAAAATGGTATACCATGAAATGTTACAGTCTTTACTCTTATCAGGTGGCATATGGAAGAATATCATAATGGACTTCATTAAATCATTAACAAAAATCTGAAAGAAAATACATTATTATGTTCTTAGATCAATTTTATAAATTTTATAGATTATTAACCTCAATTATGATTGATAAAGACAAGATATTCACAAGTTTGTTCTAAAAAGAATTGTTTAAGTTGTTAGAGAGATATAAATCATTTTGTGGTCTCACTTAACAGTTTAAACTTTTGGGTTGAGATAGGTCTTTAACATGGTATTAGAATCTTAATGACCAACTGGTCACGAGTTTAAATCTCATTATTTCTATTTATTTGATAAATATCAAGTACAAGGTAATGTGAATCTGTGCAGGTTTCAAGTCCAAAGAAATTTCACTTGAAGGGGTGTGTTAGAAAATAATATAAATTATATTCTAGAACCTCACCTAATAGCTTAGGCTATTGGGTTAAGATGGTTCTTTGACATGGTATTGGAGCCTTGATGACTAAACAATCATAAGTTTGAATCTTACCAGCCCTATTTATTTGATAAAAATTAAGCACAAGGTAATATAGACCTATATAAGTTTCAAGCTCAAATGACTTTTACTTGAAGGATTATGCTAGAGAATAATATAAATCATATATTAAGACCTCACTTAACAGTTTAAACTATTAGGTTGAGATGATTTTTTGATATAAGTTACTCATGAGTTTTGCATATCACCCTCAACTATATGGGCAAATTAAAAGATTTAACCAATGCTTAGAAACCTATGTAAGATTTATAACGATATACAATCCTAATAAATGATATTTGTAGTTGTTAATAACTTAATGGTGGTACATATTAGTTATCATTCAACCATTAAAATGTGTGTCTTTCAATCATTATATAGATACTCTCCTCTTTATAGAGATATTGTGACATAAAAGGTTTCTCTAGTAGCTGTTGTGGAAGAAATGCTA